CGTTTTAACTATATATATATATATATATATATATAAAAACACAGTGGTAAATGCACTAATGCAGGCTGCCTGTGCGCTGCTGCCCCGCTGCATAATAGCGCTCCGCCGTTCCTCCAGCATGTCTTATAGAAGGCCTTAATCTAGCCCTGTGGCTCTGCTCTCCAATCAGCTCTGCTTACAATTCGGTGTATCAACTTGAGCTCTCGCAGTCTGAACGTCATGTGGACGAGGGGACAGTTTTTAAGGCATTAAGTCCCCCTAAATCCCCGCGGCTACGCAGCAGAATGCAGGAGGACTCTGCGCATAAGCGTGTGTATTCAGCGTTTGCGTTTCCCCCCTTTCACCCCGGCGTTTATACACGCTCTCGGGGATAATAAGGGGCTGAGTCTGCTGGCCTTTTTTTTCTCTTCCTCGCGATTGATAATTATGCCTGAGATTAAGGCCACACTCTCTGTCGTCACCTTTACTGCTGAGGCGGATTCAGTGAGTGAGAAAGCAGTGAGAACCGTTTATTCAGACTCGAGCTCACATCTCCGCTTCACTGTATCAGAGCTGAGCCTTTAGGTTCTACATGTGAAACTTTTCTCTCTTTTTCTCCTGAAAACGCGCTACCTGAATTGTGTGAAAGCTGAAATCAGCCTGCTCCCCAGGCTCGGCTAGCGGAGACCAGCGCGCGGTCCGCACAAGCCTCGCTCTCATTGGCTGAAGAGTTTGCGTCAAAAAAAAAAAGAAAAAAAGAAAAAGTAACTCGCGACATTTGTTTCCCCCGCGAGAGCGACCGACTCCAGTCTCGAGCCCTCGAGCCGCCTCGCCATTGGCCAGCACGTCCCGCGAATCACGCGCGAGCAAGTTCGCCCAGAAGGAGCAGCGATTTATAACCGTACGGACTTTAATCTCTCTAAACGCTCTCCACTCATTGTCCGTTTTTGTGGACGAACTGAAGCTTTTCAGGCTCTCCGCGCTGCTCGGCTGACAGCTGACTGTTTTTATCGGTTAGAATAAAAGGGCTTCGTTTTAGATGTGAAGGTAACGGTCGGATGTAACGCTGCCGGACTGTAATCTTCTCTCACTGAAGTGTGAAACGCAACAGAGTGCTTCGGTAAGTAGCCCACTTTTCTCTGCTCATTTAACTTCATCAGGTCGAGCAAGATCACCACCATAGCCAGCCTGTAAGACTGCATTATTACATAACCTACTGTTATATTACACAGTAACTAATACATTATTATTATTATTATTATTATTATTATTATTGTTATTATTATTTGCCTTTGTAACGGTTACAATAACAATAATTGGTCGAAGCTCCGTTCACCTGCGCTTCCGCTGAACTTATTCTCTAAACTTGAGGCGGCCGTTTATGTTTGTAAAATGTGAGAATATCAATTGATTCTTATACTAACCGCCAGTTTGTTAGTCTAAAGTCTAACTGGGGTGTGGAATGAATTTAGAGCGACCACCAGCCCACTTGGGTAAAGTTGTTTTCCCTCCCGCCTCAGTGTGAGCTCTGGACTGGAGCGAAGTGGAGACAAAGGGAGATGATTAAAGAGAGAGAGGGGGAGAGAGACACGGAGAAAGAGAGCCGTCCGCGAAAATACCAGTGTGTAAAAATACACTGTACAAATATATACAAACTACTGACGCGGTTAAATAGTAACCACGCGCTTCACCTGCCGTGTTCGGTATAGGCCGTTTACCGAATACGGTGTGGTTGATTTTGTGAAGGCTGGAGAGAAATAGCTTGCGAGGCGTCCCGCTGTTACGGGCCTGCTGGACATGCTGCACTCACTGAACTCGCGCAGTTAAAAAGATGATATATATTCCGAACTACAAACAGAAATATTTAGTTGAGCTAATAGGGTTACATTATTTAACACAGAACAACGCTAAAATGAAAGAGGAGTTGATGTGTGTGCGCGAGTGAGTGTGTGTGTGTTTGTGTGTGTGTGAGAGAGAGAGAGAGAGAGAGAGAGAGAGATTTGTCGTCCTGCACCGAATCAATGAGGCCAAATGTTCAGCTGAAGGGTAGCGTCCAGTAATTAGGGGAGCGCGTGCCATCCGGATTATCTCGTTAATTTATCAACAAAAACATTTATCATAATTAATTCTTGGATGAGGTAATTACTATTGAGCGCTTGTGCAACTGGTAGACGAGGCATGTTTTAAGTGACAGATTGAGGGGGAAAACCGTTGGATATTAAAAAACACCCCCAGCTCCTCAGTAATTAGGCTACAGTGAGGGGGCTCCCACTTTAATATTCGCCTCGACTCGTTTGGGAATTTCCACCGACGAAATAGCAATTTGAACAACTTTGTTTTGTCCTTATTGGAATTAAAATAAGATCATCCAGCCTCTTTAATCTAACAGCAGACTAGAGCTTTGAAAACAGGTTTTTTCTTCTTCGTGCATTAGTGATTTCCATTCAGTAATAAAATGAAATGGAAACCAACTGTAGTTCGGCCTGGAAAAAACTTCACGCTCTTACTTTTTTTGATGCCATCCAATAGTTACGATTCAGAGATGTTAGTTTACTTTACCTTTTAACCCTAAAGCACTTCAATTCATCTCTAACTCAAAAATCCAATTAGAGAGGCCTTGAATGAGGTGTTAATGATGACCGAATTCTCCAGCCGAGTCATTAAACACTGTTACCTATCGTTAGTCAAATAGTCCCATTGACATTCACGAAGATAGTAGGGATACTAAAACACATCATTATGGGTGCATTCATTAATTTAATGGCCACTGTACGCCCACTGAGTGGGGAACGATGAGGTCTTCTCGTATTGTTCCCTTTTGCCTCTCGCCAGTAGGGCTTTTGTTATCGGCCTTATTTATCAGACTAACAGCGGCCTTTGTTGCCACAAATGGCCTCCAATCAGTTCCCTTATGCTTGAGACAATTAGCCTGGTTCCTATGCAAATCGTTATTTCTCGCTGTATGCACATTAGAAAGGCTGTGGTTCTGTGCATTGTGGGGACTTGTTGCAATTAGATGTTACATTTTTTTTGGGGTCGATGGGGAGAGAGGGTGAAGGGGGGAGGGATGATGACGGGGTGGGGTGGGGGGTGCCAAGATGAGCCTCGCTCCCTTCACGAGGCCAGCTGGAGGTCCGGAGGAGCTTTAAGAGCACGTTGCGCCGTGGACTGCGTTTATTCCCCGTTAAGACTCCCAGCCTGAGAGGCTCCGTCAGCTCACCGTTGGTGACCATCTCTGCTTGTGTGTGTGTGTGTGGTTTTCTGGGAGCAGGGCTCGCAGCCTGGAGCGAAGAGCAGCCGCAGGCAGCAACCAGGAGAAGAAGAGCGGACAGAACCGAGCTCCAACATTTTCTCCAACTTCACCTCCAGCACCAACTTTAGCATGATGTCGTATCTCAAGCAACCACCTTACACGGTGAACGGGCTGAGTTTAACCACGTCCGGGATGGACCTCCTGCACCCGTCCGTGGGATACCCAGGTGAGCAGAGACCCTGAAAAGAGTTCACTCTGACTTTATGACTGTGGCAAGTCTTACAGTTTCACTCTGTCTTATACATGGATTACGATACTTCTTCTCAGGGTCAATCCATGATCCATTTCATTTAAATTCACAATCCGATCTGTCTAGACTGTCGTTTAACAAATGATTCGAATGGTTTGTTATATTCTTATACCAACAATAAAAAAATATTTTAAACGGGTTAATTGGTATCTTTTAATTCAGATGAGGCGCCAGCGGTTCTGTGGTCAGTTGATCACTAAGAGTTATTAGAAAGTTAAGAAACTAAAGGGAATCCGCATATAATTACTTGAGAAAAAATTCAGAAATCAAAATTAATTATTTAGATATAGTTTAAAAGAATCCAAGTACCTTATTGAAATTAAGATAAAATATCAAAATAAATCAGGCACTTTCAGTCATCAGATTTTCCTTTAACTGTATGGATTAAATTAGGCGTTTTTAAGCGTTTTAAGATGTTTAGCCTGTCGGTGCCTCCGCATGATTTTCAGTGGGATTAGAGAAAAAGTCTGAAACTTTTAATTGTCAAACAAACATTTTCTTTAACTTTTTGCATGAATTAAATAATCAGCTTTAAAAGTATTCTAATTATGATTAAAGTCAGCAAACCTTTTTATTCGTAAGCATGAAGAAGTAAAGAGAGCAAATGTATGTTTGGCGGCTTTCATGCGCCACAGTCGTATTTGATGTTCGCTCTAAAAACAGAAGTGTAAAAAAATAACACATTTTATCTCTAACTAGACACATCAGTTGATTGTGTTCAGTTGGAGACACACATTTTGAGTTACTTTTAACACAAAATGTGTTCAAATATTTCTGTCCAAACATTTTGTGTTGTTTTTAATAAAGATTGTGTTAAATCATTAAATGTGTTAAATCATAAAATAATACGAGACAAAAGTGTTAAGGAAGTGTGCTGTTATTTACACATTACTTTTTAGAGAGTTGTGTTGTTGAGTGAATGGAGCTTTGTATGAATGCTGTTCTGATGGCCATTCTGCATATATATGCATACGTTGTTGTTATTATTATTATTATTATTATTATTATTAGAGATACATTGTCTTTATAATTGCTATATCTATATCGTTCATCATTTTTATAGATTCCTGAAAGTCATTATTATTATTATTATTATTATTATTATTATTATTATTATTATGTGACTGATTTTGTTTTGTTTCCCCTAAACAGCTACTCCTCGAAAGCAGAGGCGGGAGAGGACGACGTTCACCCGCGCCCAGCTAGACGTGCTCGAGGCGCTGTTTGCCAAAACGCGCTACCCGGACATCTTCATGCGCGAGGAGGTGGCGCTAAAGATCAACCTGCCTGAGTCCCGCGTACAGGTCAGTAACAGAAACAGGGAGAGTGAACTGATATTTGCATATCTGCGCTGGAAAAGATGTGGAACTGTTGAAATGTGATGTTTGCCCTAAAGTGCTCGGATTTGAGGTGCATTATGTGTTTTTACTGGGACTCTTTTGCTTTTTGAAAAGCAGA